GGGAAGTGCACTCCTCCAGCTGCTTTGCCCCAGCAGTGCAACACAGCCTGGCGATCCAAAACAACAACTGGACATCGAGTAGCCAATGGAAGAAGTTGCACAACAGACAGGAAAACATGATACACTGATAGATAGTGTTGTTCACACATTGCACTCCTCCGACTATTGCATTTATTAAGGGAAAGTGCACCCCTCTAGCTGCTTTGACCTGTGCCAAACAGCCTGGCGATCAGCTGGTTGCACCAAAAATCAGATTACAAGTAACATGCCATCAGAGTTCGTGTAGTGGCAGCTGATCTGAGTAAACACCCAGCGTTGCTCGTGTAATGCTCGAGTGAACATCGTTTCGTCTAATCAAAGGGATTGCCAGTTTGCCTGATGATTCCGGCTTTAAAAGGCACTGGGCAAGGATCTAGTTGTTTAGCAAGAAATCACCGGTGTGTGCATGCTAAGCTTCACCTCCACTGCTGCATCCCGTAAAAATCGAGGAGGAACCTTACTTAGTAGCAGATAAATTTTATTCCTCGTTAGGCTCGATATCCCCTTTCCCCCTCCCTTTTCCCTCCATTTTCCGTGAGAAGCGGATGTACAGGACCGGGATAATCGACTGTGAAAGCGTTTGCCAAGAATTTCAGGAAAAGTTCAAGTCCGAAATTCGAAGGGGGCTAGATATCCCCCCTCCCCCCCTCTAGCTCTGACCGTAACGATACCAACTAGTGTTACAACCCATACTGCACTTCCTACTTCCGTGAGCGATAAAAAAGCCTTCATAGGCAACTTCCCGAAAACAAAAGATTCCGCCATCCCACATCAACCACTCGCTGGCAAAACTGTCAAAGTTTTTAGAGCAAGTCGATGGCGAGTCTAACTCACTGGTACGCGCCAATACCAATTTGCTATGGAAAATAATAAAAGAATCGTAGAAAAAAATAAGCTGATCCATCGGCGGGACCGAACCTTCGTCCTCCTTCAGCAGCACGAGAGCAGCGCTACTTGCCACTGCGCCACGGCTGTCAACAATCAGCAAAAGTACATAAACAACTACCCACCGTTTTTTTCCTCTAATTTGTATACTACGTAAAAGTACAGGGTAAAACACGTGATCAATGCATAGGTCAAGGTCAAAAGCCAAAAACCCCTCCGTATTCATTCTCACTGCGAGGTGGGGGCATTCGGTAAGTAGCTTGAGTGGTCACAAGCGATCACCTGCTGGCAAGGCTG